GAGGGACTGGGCGGGGCCAAGAGCGTGGTGGGTGGGGCCAGGCAGCATTCAGCCTATTGGAGACCATGATAGACAGGATCTGGGCTTATCAACAGCGGTATAGTAGCCAGAGCCCAGGGCTTCTTAGACCAATAGGGGCCCGTGATAGGCGGGGCCTAGGTGCATGAGGGGCGTGGGCATGGGCCTGGGATAAGATTAGAGCAGGTATAGGTTGAGGGCAATGGTGGGCGGAGCCAGGTGTATCATTACACCCCTGGAATAAGGGTGGAGCTAAAATTGCACCGGGTGCTGAGCACAGTAGATCCCGCCTGTCATCTCAGAACTTTGGGAGGCCAAGGTGGGAGAATCTCTTGAGGACAGGTGTTCGAGACTAGCCCGGGCAATACAGTGAGGCCCCCGCCCCCCGCCACCCCCACCAACCTCAAGAAAAATGTCTTTAAAAATTAACCACCATGGGCCGGGCGCGGTGGCTCACACCTGTAATCCTAGCACTTTGGGAGGCTGAGGCGGGAGGATCACGAGGTCAGGAGATCGAGACCATCCTGACTAATATGGTGAAATCCCATCTCTACTAAAAAATACATAAAATTAGCCGGGCGTGGTAGCACACGCCTGTAGTCCCAGCTACACGGGAGGCTGAGGCAGGAGAATCCCTTGAACCCGGGAGGCAGAGGTTGCAGTGAGCCGAGATGGCCGCATTGCACTCCAGCCTGGGCGATAGAGCGAGAGTCCATCTCAAATAAATAAATAAATAAATAAATAAATAAATAAATAAAATTAGCCAGGCGACTTGGGCGGCTGAGGTGGGAGGATCACTTGATCCCGGGAGGTCACGGCTGCAGTGAGCTATGATCGCAGCTCTTCACTCCAGCCTGGGCGACAGGGCAAGACCCAGTCTCAGAAAAAAAAGTTATTCAGGGCGGGGCCCTGAGAGTTTCTAGCCCTTCCCTACAACCTGCCACCATATCCCTCTCGCAGGTTTTGGGACCCTGGCCCAGCTGCGGACCCCTTGACCGACCTGCGCTACGTATGGGGCGGCTTCGTGTACCTGCAGGACCTAGTGGAGCGCGCAGCCGTCCGCGTGCTCAGCGGCGCCGCCCCCCAGGCCGGCCTCTACCTGCAGCAGATGCCCTATCCGTGCTATGTGGATGACGTGTGAGCTCTGGCACCCCTCCTCGCTGTCCCCCGCGGCGGGAAGGTCCCGGGTGTGGGGGTGAGCCCAGGCTCTGTTGGGAACCTTCCTGCGGTCCAGGCTGCGAACTTGGCACCTTTCTACCACTCCACGTGACCTGCTGCAGCGGGAGGAGCAGGGGACTCTGAGGGTCCGGGGTCTCCCGGCGCAGGGAGAGCCTGACCTGCACTGATGCCTGGGAGCCCGAGGCTGGCTGGATCAGGGTCCAAGGAACAGGGAGGCGAATCTTCCCGTCTTGAGATCCCGGGACACGAACCAGTCGTGCCAGATGGTGGGGGGAGTGGGGCAGTCTGCGGAGGGTCTCCGGCCTCCACCCCAGCCGTCCCCACCCCAGGTTCCTGCGTGTGCTGAGCCGGTCGCTGCCGCTCTTCCTGACGCTGGCCTGGATCTACTCCGTGACGCTGACGGTGAAGGCGGTGGTGCGGGAGAAGGAGACACGGTTGCGGGACACCATGCGCGCCATGGGGCTCAGCCGCGGGGTGCTCTGGCTCGGCTGGTTCCTCAGCTGCCTTGGGCCCTTCCTGCTCAGCGCAGCGCTGCTGGTTCTGGTGCTCAAGGTGGGCGCGCGTCGGCCTGCCCAGTTGCAGGAGGGTGGCAGGCAGAAGCTGCCCCGCGTGGGTGCGCGCCCCCGGGCCAATCCAGGAGCTGGACCTGAGCTCCCGTCGCCTCCCACAGCTGGGGGACATCCTCCCCTACAGCCACCCGGGCGTGGTCTTCGTGTTCTTGGCGGCCTTCGCCGTGGCCACGGTGACCCAGAGCTTCCTGCTCAGCGCCTTCTTCTCCCGCGCCAACCTGGCTGCGGCCTGCGGCGGCCTGGCCTACTTCTCCCTCTACCTGCCCTACGTGCTGTGCGTGGCTTGGCGGGACCGGCTGCCGGCGGGTGGCCGCGTGGCCGCGGTGAGAGCCCGGTCGGGCGTGGGTGGGGGACGCCCCCCGCCTCGGCCGCTCACTGACCGCCCGCTTTTCTGCAGAGCCTGCTGTCGCCCGTGGCCTTCGGCTTCGGCTGCGAGAGCCTGGCGCTGCTGGAGGAGCAGGGCGAGGGCGCGCAATGGCACAACGTGGGCACCCAGCCCACAGCAGACGTCTTCAGCCTGGCCCAGGTCTCTGGCCTTCTGCTGCTGGACGCGGCGCTCTACAGCCTCGCCACCTGGTACCTGGAAGCTGTGTGCCCAGGTGGGCCGTAAGGGCACGGGGCTCTGGGCCAGGTCGCACCTGCTTTGCGGGAGGATGGGCTAGGGGCGTGACCTCCAGGCCATTTGGTACCGAGAGACTTATTCCCTTGGAGAGAAGGCGGGGCTTCCTGGCACAGGCATGCAGGTGGCTGCACTGGAGGGGCGCGGCCTGAGGCAGGTGGTGGGTGGGGTTTCTTGGCCCCTACACCTGGACGCCCTGATTCCAGGTGTGTGGCCAGAAGCTGGCACAGTCGCTGGGCGCTGTGACTCACACTTGTAATACCAGCACTTTGGGAGGCCGAGGCGGGAGGATCGCTTGAGTCTAGGAGTTTGAGACCAGGCTGGGCAACATAGTGAGACTCCATTTCTACAAAAAGTTAGCTGGGCGTGGTGGCACGCACCTGTAGTCCCAGCTACTTGGAAGGATGAGGTGGGAGGATCACTTGAGCCTAGGAGGTCCCAACTGCAGTAAGCCGTGATCGTACCAGCCTGGCGACAGAATGAGACCCCCATCTGCTAAAAAAAAAAAAAAAAAAAAAAAAAAAAAAAAAAAA